ACATCAGCTGGACTGCAACCCCGGTTACAGTTACTGTAATTGCTTTTCTCCAGAGGAAATTATTCCTTACAAGCTGCCCACCTTCAGAGATTGCTGAGCCACAGAGAGTCTTCCACTGCATGGGCTTAGAAAGCAGCAAGAAGGATATCTTCTTCCACACTTGACACTCAGAAGGGAAACACTAAACAAATTGAGTGGGTTTGAGAGGTGGGGATCCCTGCAAGCATTTTCACGTGCCAGACCTGAACCTCCCATGGGCTCTGGCAGGAGCAGGATTACAATCATGATCTGCATTTTAAAACTGCTACTCCACGAGTTTCAATTTGCATTTGTGTGCACGTTTGTATGTACATGCAAGCACACAGAACTTGCATTTTCAATATACAAAAATGTGTATATTATGTACACGTAAATTGCACTATATATTTTATGTGCATATATTTATATAAGGTAGTCATCATCCATATTACTAACCAGAATTTTAACAAGAAGTTAACTTTCAAAATGCAATTTGCTTATACCTCTTCAATTAGTTTGCACGGCAGTAGATCTGTAAACCTTTCTTGTGGACATGCAGTGATCATATCAAAAAACACTGCTTGAGGCTGGTTACGTTCACCAATTATACTGTTTTATTAATTCATTTTTCTGTAAGATTTGGCACCAAAAGCACATAAATTAACTAAACTGCATTTTCTCAATGAAGAGCCTTTCAGGATCACGATTAGATATGCCTTCCATGATGAAATGTTATTTAAAATTACCCTTTTCAGTTCTTGCTTCCAATGTGTAACGTATGGGGCACAGCTACATTTGTTTGCTGCTCCTACCAGAGTTTGAAAACTCTACAGAAAAGACAACCCACATTTTTAAAAACAAATTTCTTGAAATCTGTCATGGAGGAGAAATGCATTGGGTGGAAGGCGTTCAGTGGGTGCATGAGAGAGGTATCTGGAAGAGTAAAAAAGGAATACTGAAGCATGAAAGAAGGGACACAAACGTGTGGAAACACAGAAACAAAATTAAAGTCAAATTAAGGAGAACGAGACCTGCAGGCTGGAGAGTGCTCTTTCAGGCAGAGCCAAGGTAGACTGGGATGAAACGCAGGAGCTGAAGTGTTATCACACTGCGGCACAACGCGACTGGGTTAATACGCGTCATCGCAACTTAAAAGAAGATTCTCACACTCCCACAAATTTGGAAGCAAGAGCACTTACAGGAAAAGTGTACAGAGCCAGTGTGGCTGTTACCGATGCTATTTGTGCTTCAGGGGGAAAGGGTTTTTCAAGCTCTTGACCAAATTTCTTCTGCCACTTCTGCAGTAAGTCAGACTCATATTCAAAATATAATTTAATGTGATGGTAGTTATTATGACGGGATGGATTCAATATTTTGACTTTACCATGATCAGAAAAAGAATAAAAGTTACCATCAGTAACTGCTTTTGTTTGTATAAACTGGATCATTATCAAAAAGCAAAAAGTAAACATGTTTAATAAAAATGTGTGGTGAGGCTGTCCCTGGTTGCCTAGGAAATGTAGCAAATTCCTTTTCAAAGTAGCCACAGGGTTAGACAATAGACATTTTAGTCTGAATTATTCTGCATTGCCATAAAAAAGATGAGCTGGGAACAATTTTGTGACAACTCCTTTGTAGAGATTCCACAACAGTTGATGGAGAAACAATAGGGTTTTCTTCATTGTTTTCCATAGTTACTGGAAAAAGCTGTAGCCATTCAGCCTGCAAATACCACAAGTACACACAAATGTGTGACACATGCATATACAAATATTTGGGTACAATATGGACAACAGTGACTGAAAGTTAAACCTGCATGTTTTTGGACTTGAGCTTCCAAAGACCTCCCTAGGAGAACATGAATATTCTATCCTACGGACTATCTCACACAAAATTGGAAAGATACAGGTTTACAATTTCTTGAATGCAAAGACTGCTACTGAAATGAGAACTATTAGATATGGAAAAACTTAACCACTTGCACATAAAAAACAGACTGGCAGAATCAGAGCTTCACAGGTTTCCTTGAGTTAGGCAACACTGCAGATACTACACTTGCTGGGAATTAATTATAGCGCAACAGTAATAATTTCATATTCTGGGACAGAGCTGGTTTAATATTTGTATCAAATCAATACTGCAGATGTTGAACTTTGACTTTCATCTGCTTCTGCTCATCTTTAGATGTCCTCATCATCAATGTATGACCACAGTTTTTGTATAAACGTTCCTATGCTAGCCAGATGACAACTGTGAAAATTCTTTCATTAAAACAAACATGTTACCTTGGAGTGCACAGGTGATAACAAAGACGCTCCCGGTAACAGCAAAGCATTTTAGAAATCCAGCCTGTTCATCCAAACACTATATTGTACTACCCTTGAGTATATCTCAGAATTTAAAATTTGACTGCTTATTTAAACCGCCCCTTCAATCTGATCCTACTTTCTATGTATGAAACTCTTTGGTGAGACCTGTATGAGTCTGGCACGTATAAAACCAGACATATCCAAACAGGGCAGATACTCTGAACACACAAACACAACCCTATGGTTAAAGGGTTCTTGTCAAAATCTCCAGGAACTTCTTCATGATAGTCTAAAAGTGCCCATTGCTGCACTACATATAAACCAGCAGAATGAATAGACCACAGGCCATATAGTAAGTATCATAGAGATTCTCAGTATTCCACAAAGGCATTTAGTCACAGCAAACGGTAGCATTTAGGTACTACCTTTCATCCTACTGATAGAGTATTACTCATTCACCAGTTCTTTCCAGAGATCTTGCTATGAATATTCAGCTCTTGATTACAATAATGAATCTGAGGTGCTCTGCAATACTTAGTACTATGGTGTAGTAGTACCACTGTCATGCAGATTATCCAAAGTGAACACTGCTACAATACCACACATGCCGCTCATAACCGTTATGTGACGGGACAGAGCAAGCTCAACCTGCACAGAGTGGGAGGAGGCGAAGTGGTACTTGGCCTTGGAAACAGAAATGTCAATCAATTTCAAACTTTGACATCTGTCAGAAGGGACACGACTACATATTACGTCCTTGGTGTCAAATATCAGACGGCAGGAGGAGATGAGGGAAAGGAAGCAAAATTTTCGGAACCTCCCAGAACGATGCTGAAGTAGATCTAGTTTCATGAGGACACAGACTGCTTAAGGAGCCTGCCGTAACTTCTGTGAGATAGGTAAAATACTTGGATGTGTTTCAATTACCACTATCATTATTATTATTGCTACTTTAAGGCTGTCAATGTCTGTTGCTTCTCACTAAATGAGGAAAAGGGCTGGGGGATAGCTGTAAAACAAGCCTCATTCCTAATCATGCTAGAGATAATGCCAAGGTCAGCTATACCAAAGAGCACAATAAACTGTGATGCAATGCACACTTGCAGGAATATTAATTAAACAAGTTTGAAAATGTTAGAGCCTATTTTACTTCCCTGTCTGCAAAACAAACTTCATTTAGCCTTGGTAATTCTGGTTGTGCAGACCAGAAATAATTCTGCAGAAGAAAAAGTGCTAATATATATTAAAGAATAATAAAACTAGTCTAAAATAGAAAAAAATTTAAAAGAACTTTTGAGTAACGTAAGAGCTCCTGCCTTTCGCGTCAGAGCGTATCACACTAAGAAGTTTCTATCATGCATTTTTTTTTTTTGTATTAAATGGAAGACTTGAAAGACTTTTGGACATGAGATTTTAAATCTGTCTGTGGCACAAATCTGAATGGTTGCTATGTAGGCTTTGGTCCAGTAAAATTGTGGTAAACTGCTTTCATTAAGGGCAGCTACTTCATGCTTGTAACATTAGTCTGTTCAGTGGAGTTGATGCAATGGTCACCGTAGAGGACAAGCTGTGGAAGCAATGGTAAATGTCATATACAAAATAACTACCAACAGCAGCATAAAAATAAATCTACAGTTTTGTTCAGTGTTTGTGTTCAGCCTCACAACCGTAGACATTATGTGCCACCAGTTGATTCTTTTACGTCTTTGTTATCACTGATGACTTAAAAATATTTGCTTAAAAGGGGTTGTAGCATGAATGTAACTAACAAGTATTTCTGGCCACAATGACGAGCAAAAGGGTTATGCACTAAGAGTGCAACATACTGCATGGGATGTCAACACTGATATGTAACATAGCAGCGGGAAAGCCCAGCACTGATCAACACTCTTTGTCCCTAAGGGTTCCTTCTTATAGTTCACACTGTGAAGCAGAGTCATCCTGATCCCTCCTAGCAGGGAGTACAGCTGGTCCTACTGCTGCACAAAATGCATTTCCAGCATGGAAGAAAGGAAGGAGATGATCCCTATAGTGTTAGCTCATCTTCAGTAGTTCAGAGTAAGGAAGTGATATCCTTATGCAACACATTTGTTTATTTTCTTCTGAACGCTATACTAGCTGAAATGTAACTGGGAGGAATGGGAAGAGAAAATGTAGACTCATATGCAAACAGAAGCTTTGGGCACTATGTTATGTCATCTTGGGTACAATTTTTACTGTGGGATGGTATTTCCTGGCTGTAGAGTTTCAGGGCCATGCAGTATTCTTTTTAAAAATTTCTGTCAGTCACTTCTTTGTTGTGGAGGACCTTTTCCAAAGCTGTAGTTTGCACAGTGCTAGTGATACGGTGAGCGGTCCTTGGCTGGTGCGCAGGTAACATTGTCCTACATGCCATCATCTGATACAAATCTCTCTTTCACTTCATTTTGAATAAATTCAACTCCTCTAGTATATAACCAGGCCATACAAGTGGTACGGTTCTGTGAGAAATGCCAAAGGTTGGCAATTACCCACTGGTCTAAAGTTTGAAGAACAGGTATCTAGGATACCCATGTCATCACTGTTACGCAGATGGGGAAACATACAGGTAATTCTTAAATGCAAGATTATCAACTGGATAGTCTTAACACTGTGTCACCAAAAACCTTTTTTCCAAAGAATTATAGTGTTTACCTTCAGTCCTGTCTGGTAGTTTCCCACTTTTACTTGTTGTTCCAGTGTTGACTGTTTCAGATGAGGTGCTCAGTTTGGTGTTGGGGTCTCGCTTAGGTTTTGGAGGCGGCTGCTTACGAGAGCTGCTACTTTCGTCATCAGTTCCTCCGACAGAATGAAGGGACTGGGATCTCACGGCAAAGCCACTGGAGCAAGGATGTGGCAGTCTGTCCTGAGGAGCAGGCATTGTCATAAATCCCATGCGGAAATGTTTCCCCACGTAGCTTCCTTCATTTCCTCTCACTACTTCTCCACCTATGCTGTAAGAGAAAATACACATATAAATAAATGATCCACCTTTGCCTGAACTGTACCGGGAACGAGGATCTCAGTTCTGTGGTGACCAGATTGTACTTCGGAATTTGGAAACAACCAATGCTCTTTTCTTAACACAAGATGACTCCTCGAATAGTCTATTTTTCAACGTAAGTTGTTAACGCCTGAAACACAGATATATCACGATGCACGCACTCAAGATTTTACAAGAAGAAATAGAGAAAAACTTTTGTTCAGGTTTCAAAGCATTGTGACTAGAAATTGTCTACAGAACAAATTTCAAACATCGGTAGTCAGAACTGAGTTTTCAGGAAGACAAGAGACTGTGAGTAGGCCAAAGAATACTGCTTTAGAAATGCAACCTTGTGTATTGATCTGCACTCATCTTTGACTACAGACACTCATCTGCCTTGGGCAACAAGGCTCTTGGGGTCCAATCAATCATTTCCCTTCAGATTAAAGAATGGTAAGAGAAAGAAATGCTCTAAAAATTACTTGGATATAGGAAACTGAACACTTACATCTCATCAAATCCACGTGAAGCTGCAACATGAGCAGCATCAGACTAGTAAGATACAAGCATAGGAAACGAAAAGGCAATGGGCCATGGGACACCAGGAATAAAATAACCTCCAACCATTCAGAAACACAGGTGTAGAAGAAGGAAAGCTCAGTTGAAACAAGTGCTGTCATACCAAGTACTACATTGTACTGTGGATGGCAGGACTGAGAACCTAGTATTATTCCTGCTATACTCATGCATACTTATCAGTTCTGAAAAACAGCTCTTACTGATGCTTATACTGTAAACCTACAACGTGTTTCAATTCAGGCCATTCAGTGACTAGGCGAAGAAACTCAGCAACACACACAGGTCAACATGGGCCTGTTTGCAAGGAGGTTTGAAATGGTACCACTGTGGGCATGTAGAAATGTCAGTATGAGAACTCTGAAGTCCTGGAAAGCCCGAATTACCTCCCATTTCCCCTTCACGCAGAGAGAAGCTCTAAGCAGGGTCAGTCTGCTCCTCTAAGTTTCCTACTCAGTGTTGCCTTGGGCTGGTGCAGTTTATTTGGTGCTGGAGCACATTTCCTTCTTTAAAAGACAAGAACATTTCTCAATGGTTCACGTAAAGAGTAAGGTCACTTCATTCCCCGATACCATCCCCATCCTCCTTGTCGGTAATACACGAGCTGTATCCGATTGTCCTCAAAGCATCAGACTGGCACTGTGCAACGCACAACTTTGCGCATGATAAAGCGGAACCTTCATTTGCTTAGAACCGTCCTTACATTTTTATTTAATTTCCACCAGTAGAGAGGCCCACTTTCCAAATCGGTAACAACTGAGCAGGTCTAACTGAACATGTGCCACACCCCGGGCCACTGACACTGACCTGCACATGTATGCACACGCGTGCACACACGCGTGTGCACACACTGATCCATGTTCATAACCAAGTTATTACCGAATCGTAATTGGCACCAATTCCAGAAGGATTTGTAGCCAGAAAGATCAAAAGGTAGAACTCGTTAATTTGAAGATTAATAAAAACCCTGTATCTAATTTCAATGATTAACTGTGCCTCTACTAATCTTTCATAAATTGTTCTGAAAATAATATAATCCTCTGATGCTCGACTATGAAAAGGGCCTGTCACGTTATTTAAAGAAGATTACTATCCAAACATGCTGAAGAATGCAGGTGGGGAGTCTGCTTCCTTCCTTACGTCCACTGGATAAATCACATTTAGCAAACGAAATTTCAGTTTGCCATGTCTCTGACGTTAAAGTTCTTACCAGGTTACACTATTTAATTAGTGCATTTACTTCACTGCTGCTTGAAGGTGTTTAAACCACACACTATAGGGCAGATTCTGTTCCGGATGGACTTGCACAAATTCCACTAAGGTAGTAGGTTTCACCCTTTTCCTAAGAATACACAGAATTGTGTTTATACAAAGTACTTTTGTGCCAAACTGCTGCATCTTGTATTCCAGAAAGAAAAACTATCAAAATATAAGTCCACTGCCTAACTGCACTATCTCATTAAACTATTAAATCATGTCCTTTCTTTTCCCTTCCCATAATTTTTTCATTCTTTACTGAATTTCAACAACACGGATGAAAACCTGTCTCACCTGCTTCCTATGCTTACTCCAGAGTAAACCGCCTATAGCCAGGTTAGAGAGAGGTTGCAGGTACAGATGAGAACAGACGCCGTCGTTTTCTGCTCCATGGCTGAAGTAGATCTGGTCTTGCTTTTCTACATCCTCTGCTCAGCTACTAGAAAAAAAAACAGCCGGACACCATTTCCCTCCTTTCAGCCACGTTTTTCTGAGTCCTGATCGACCAGGATCACAAAAGACTTCGTTTTGTTACTTCTGCTGGTAGCGATTCCCCCGTGTTGGGCGGCGGGCGTTTCCTACCATAGCTTGAGTAACAAGCTTGAGTGCAAGCGTAACACTGGGTGGAGCGCCAAGTTCACATCGCGGCAAAACAGACTGAAATCCAGCGTGGTGCAAAGACAAAGGAGTCACTCCAGACTCCTACCCACAGCACGCGTAGAGAAGCAGGACGGCGGATGTCACACGTGGTGTCCCCCACCCTCAGGCAGCAGCGTGCCGAAGCTCCATTTGGACTTGTGCAATGCAGCTTTGCAATACGCAGCGCTGCTGATGTTACATCATGAAACCAGACAGAATTAAAGGATTTATTTATAAACTGCTCCCGCGTGCAACCACAGGAGTTGGCTGGGGCTGGTGTATGTCCCACTACAGCACAACAGGCCGAGAAAGATTTATATGCACCTTGCTGCATAAATGACTGCAGAGACTGAGAGGGAAGATAATTGCGTAGATCTCACTCCATTATTTCTGACAGGAAAGAGCCTGTGCTCCTCATTGTACTGATAATGAGTTCCATCTCATTTCAAAACTGTATTATGTGAGTTGCTGCAAGTATTACACAGTTTGTTAATATATATGGAAATACAGACTTGGATTATTCCTCTGGGAAGTTTCAGTTTGAACTTGGCCAGGTTCAACTGCTTCTCTGACAAAGAATTATGTACAATGTTCAAATACCCGTTAGAAACAAGATATTTTTCTACAAAGAGAGACATGAATTATACAACAACAAAATTAATCATATGATCACTCATGTTACACACTTACAGCAAAGCTGGCTTTGTGCTGAAAAATGCACTTTGGCACTTGCCTGAGGTCTAGCGACTGGCACTGCAGGGGCTGGAAAAAAGGGCAGTGCAGTTGTCTCCTGTCGGCTCCTGACACCCTGAAGAAGAGTGTTCTGAAGCAGCTCTGCTTTCAAAAACATGTTACAGGGCTCCTCCAAAGCCTACCTAACAAGTCTGATGTAGACCACCGAGTGCTGCCAGATTACAAGCTCCCTCCTTGCGTGCACTGGAAGGTAAGCGAGCTTCCCATTCCGCTCCCTCTTCCACACAGTGCTGGAATTGAAACATTACAACAAATATCAAAATGGTTGGATCTACCTTAAATCAGTAATAGTGGATTTCATCTTTCATTTCTAAAATATGAGTAAGAGCTCCAACTGATGGATCTGATGAGTCTTGTTATACCTCCAGTACAGGTTTTATCTGTCATCTGAGATTTCTGAGGGCAGCTGTGCTAGCTCAAAACCATACTGACCTCACTGTTCCCACCTGCGGCATCAGCCTGCCCGCATGTAAGCTGTAATCATTGCAGACCTGGACACACTGCAGCTCAGCTTATTGTGCTCTGCCTGCTCTATTCTATCAGGTAGATACTGGAGCATTGACCGAACTACAGCGCAGAATAACTGAAATGTTTATGTGTTTGAAGAACTACAGAGAAGAAAGTATTTTATATTATTCATTTTATTACACATCACAAGAGGGCAAGGTAGAGAGGAAGAATAAACACTAAAAATGAACACAGAAAATGCTCTAAATGGACAGAGCACGTGCAAGGTGATTTCCACCTTCCTTTGCCATGACTCATAACGTTCCTGTTGACTAGGAATATATTTTCCAGTAGTTAAGTTATAATAAAACTAAGAAAAAGAACTTTTCATCACATTGCTGAAAAACACATGGCAAAGAAAAAGTATCCAGAGACTGCCTGCCTCAATCAGTGTGGTCTTCCTAATTTGCATTGGTCCTGCTTAGCATTGCAAATAACAGTTTTAATTTGCTGTGAAGTTTCATTACTCGGTCCAGGCTGAAATTGAATCAATTCCTGGAAAACAAATTAATAGTTGTGTGAAAACTTCTGTTTCACTTGGTGTTACTGCTTTAATTAGAAACAATATAGAATATTAAATCCCTCAGTGCAGCTGTAAGGAGTAGGAGAATTTTTAGGAATATCTAAGTCCCATAAAGTCAGAATATCCTACAGCTGCATTTTCTTCCCAGCCATCTATCTACCCTTGCTCTTAGTATTCATCCAGAAATTCTCTTATCAGTTCAGACTTAAAATGGATTAGTTTCATGCCTCAGGCACCAAGAATCGCTTGGTAGTTCTCCTCATTTTGTACAGTTTCTATTTTTCTTCCTGTGCTCCTTTACATGAGATTTTCTGACTTTTTACCCACAAGTTCAAAAGAGGAACTACACCCGATTATGACACTTGACCTCCTAAGCAGGAGGAAGGGGAATGTACTCAGCTGGTGACGTGGCACCTTTGAAAGTACTTTGCCATTTCTTTGCTGTGATACACCCCAGACTGGGACCGCAGCAGGTCAACTGTCCTTCTGAGTGCTGAAATTCCAGACAACCATGAGAAACCATTTCAGTAGCAGCTGTTCACTCCTCATGTGCTTGAGGAAGACTCAGTCACAGATACTGGTTTGTTAGCTGGCAGAAACTGCGCTGGGAGTCTCTGCAGTCTCCTCTGCAGAAGTGGGGAGAAACACAAATTACAGGGCAAACAATGCACATGGATGGCAAGGCCTCTTCCCTCCGGGGAGCTGCAAGCCCACACAGCACTACCCCCCTTGGCATACATCTAATCCATCAGGGAAGCCATCTGAGTCAGAGACTGAAGAAAAGAGAAGTCACAAAAAATTAACTGTGATGACATACGAAGATTGTTATAAAGGAAAAGATACTTAACTCAAGGATTGTATATGAGCTGGCTTGACTGAGCAAACAGCAGTTCATCCCTTGGTGCATCTACCTTTTTTGGGTTAAAAGAATAGCTACTGTTATTTTAACCACTTCTTTACTCTTACAGCGATGAACACCCAGCTTCTCTGCTCATATCAAATGTTCTGCGTATAAAGGCCTGAAATGGCTTTGAAATGTCTATTCCCCATCAGAATAAATTATACACACATATACTAAGGATGACACATTTTACTTTGTATCTGAGAAGCACTTTCAAGATTAGCATAAATTATATTTGTAAATTAGAGGTTGGATGCCAAAAAACAGAAGATATACTATTTTTATCCCCGTAAACATGATTTCAGCAGACCATGAAATGTAATAATGAAGAAAGAAGGGCAGGATCACAATCATGGATTCAGGAACTGCACTAAGTATGGCTTTACACAAATCTAC